TTCGGTACTGCAAACGCAGGAGAGATCCAAACTTGACGATGATCGACCGCTGCACGTGATAGGCGAGTGATGATCCCGTTCTTCTCGAGGTTCTTAACCATGAGCTCCATGGCTGCATCTCGCGCTTACGACACACATATGGCCGCTTGGGACAGGATCGCACGGCACCAGGTTTCAGCTGGACAGTGACCTTGGGGAACGACCATCCCTTAAGACGTTCGTCCACCTTACTCCTAGTGGGCAACTTGAGCCGTGTATCAGTGAGAACGCTGGAGATGCTCCCGCCGCTATAAGGTGACAAGGACCAAGTTGAACCCAGTGCTCCGCAATAGAGTGTATCATCCGTAGTATGCAAGGTGGCCTCCAAACGCTTGAGGGTATCCATCCCCAAAATTATAGTGGACCTGCCCAGTTTCATATTGAGCCCGTCGGCAACATTGAGCTATTGGCCGACGACTTGGACTATTCTTATGCATCAGAGCCTCTGTTGGCCCTATGCAGTGAGTTCTAGACATTTCCCAAGTTGGTTACAGTGATGCCCTATAGCCACGCCTCCACCTACCCCTGCCGCCCCCACGAGAGACTATCCGCCGTTGTTGAGGACTGCTGTAACTTTGCAATGGGATGAGGTAGCTCGTCATGCTGCGCTTTTGATATGTCCCCTCATCAGGTCACAGGAGCTGACGGGTATCGTGTTTATGCTCAGCGTGGTGATTACGGAGAGGTCAGCCTAGTCTATGACGGCATGGGCCTTGGCGATCAATTGAGCTACACACACATCAGGTGGGGGGGGCACCCCTAGCACTGGAATGAGCCCGTTCTTGCAGTTTGGAGGCCGGCGTCTCCTATACGTATTGGCTCACCGCCTTATCAGCAGCTTCCGAGAGTACCCGGTCTTCGCCGCTAGAGACTGTTGCTGCTGAGCTTAGTGGTCCACCGACTGAGGTCGTGTCGACCGGACCGAAGGAGTTGAGGTGCGTCGTTATTTTTGGGGTGGTTTGATTTTGGCACTTACTGGTTCAGATGGAAATATCCCCGGGATGAGGGAGGAACATCTGTGAAGGCATTCCAGGTCCTTGTGAGTTCTTATGATACATCACTGAGTGAGGCGACGGTCAACTGGACTGCTGCACAGAACGATTGGGTCTTCGACCAACCACCGTGGGAGACTACCTTCATGAAGTCACACGAGTTGTGATGAACCCATGACGTGTATGCACTTCAGAAAGGATGTCCTCGAGACTGGCCAAGACTATGTCCTGAGAGTACGAACAGTGACGGGAACAGGG